TTAAAAATTTTAAAGGTGAACTACGAGTACCCTGATCCCCTATTACACGGAAGGTGGTATGTAGGCACTAAAGATTCGCAATCACAGAGGATGCAAAAATTGTAAAAAAAATACTTTTTTTTTATCTCCACTATCTATTTTGTATACAACACTTATAGCCAAAATACATAAATTTTCAAAGAGGTTCCTACAGAGTACCGTAGATGTTTAGGGTGCTAATACCTTCCCTTTGTATAACCAATCCCCGTACCTAGATTCTCTCCCCCCTCTTTTTGGGTTATTCACTCTTTTCCCATTCTTATGGAAACAATAAAGCGTGGTGGCGATTTTTATTTTGATCAGTGCGATTTAAGTCAATCCAATGGCTTTCTCTCAAAATTTCTACCGCTACAGCAGGTCGGGTAAACATACAAACATGTAGGCCCAAAATTCAAACTAATCTTCACACCTGTCCTCCTCTCTATCCGACTTCCTTTCACGATTATCGTCGGGAGAGGGGAATTATCCTCACATCGACCACTTGGTGAAAAGGCCCAGTCCCTTTAGTCACGAGCTTGACCCTGGTATTTGCAATCTTGAGTTGCTCCACAACAGTGTTGAAACCATACCAAGGGTCTCTAAAACATCCTTCTCAAGCTGACGAATCCGATCAATCATCTCTTTCCTAGTCTGTAAAGCCTTCTTGTCAGCGGTTTCCTCGTCAGCAGGTTCCACAACCCTTTCCATCTCTTTTACCCGGGAAGAAAATCTTTCGTTCTCCTTGGCCATGGTATCTATCTTCATCTTTAGCTCGTCCAACTCCTTGACAAGCCCGACTTGGATCTCATACTTCTCCAAATGTACGAGGAGATCGTTTTTTAGATTTTCGTTGTGCCCCTCCAGCTTGTCGATTCGGGCCTTCGCTTTGTCAAGAGCAGCCTACGAGCATGTCGTCGCGTCATTTAGGGTCAGGGCAGTCTCGAAAACCCTTATTACAGCGGCCACGTCCTCAGAAATATTTTTCTGTCGGGGCTCCTTGTTCGCGGACAAAATGGTTTTCCTCTCCCCCTCATGAACACCTAAGAAATTGTCCCCACTAAAAATACCATGGTTGAGATAACAGGGGGGCAGCATGAAGGTCTCCCCAACATTATTGCCCTTATCGATAAGGACCACGTGCTTGGGACTTTCCCTACACCTCCTTTTTGCGGGTTGTTCATGGGGAGAAAGATGGTCTCCTCGGGGAGAAGAGGAACCGCCGACATGGGTGTCAAGTTTGGCATGTTCCTAGATCTGAGCAACACATCCTTTGGGAAAATTTTTGCCACCCTTGCCCCCCACCTTAAGCACACATTCCTGGAGAGTCGATATCCGACCTATAATCCAAAAGAGATACAATTAGTCAACGAAACAAAACACAAATATCAACTACGGGCATGCTTCCTACCTAGGAGTCTCAAAAACTCTGCATCAGAAGAACATTCCAGGAGCACTTTCGTATTTAATAGTCGGGCAGCATAGACATGCTCCCCATCATCACCAAAAATGAAGTTGTTGTCCGAGTCCACGCATTTGGAAAGGAAGAAATTCCTAACATAGGCCTCTAGTTTATCATAAGCAAGCATGTCTTGAGCGTCTGGCTCCTCGGGCTTTACTGCATAATGCTTTGGCTTCTGCTCTAAGTACTTCCACTGCCACTCAAGGGGAAATTTCGCCCTTAGCTTTGTTACTTCCTGGCCATCCTTGATCTAGATTGAACGATCGTACAAGGAGTCTATGACTGCTCCTAAAATAGGCTTCACAACAAAGTACCTTTCCTTGAAATGCCAGACGGGTTCCAGGTATGGTCAGCAAAATTTTCTAAACTGCTCAAACGATACCCAGGCTTAGAGGCCTTCAACAGTTTTCCGAATTGTTTAAACGATACCCAGGTCTGGAGGCCTTCAACAGTTTTCCATTGGAGATGGAAAATTCGAAAGAATAGGGTCAAGGTCGCACCAATTTTGAAGTATTGACAAACGAGCTTAAATGCCCGCTTAAACACAAGCGCATTCAGGTGGAGTTGAGAGGGTGCTAGGTTTAACCATTTGAAACCCCCCACCTAGAAATTCGTAAAGGGCAGGCGCATCCCCGCTTTCTTAGGAAAAATCGTACATGGGGAAGCGTGTGTCTAAAAAAACCGAGCAGATCCTCCTGCTCTCAAGAGGAATATGAACCAACCAGGAGGCGGGGGCATCATCTTCCTTTTCCTCGACAACATTGAACGCGTTAGATGAATCATGAAAAAATCGAGACATTGTGTTTCTTGGTTCGGGTGTGACCCAATCTAAGTTGTAGCATGTGCCTACATTTTCCTCGTTGTTTGAGTCGGGCAAAACAGCTTCTTCAACCGGTTGATCCATCTAACCTGAAAAGCAGGGAAAATAGTAAATTCGACATCATCAAATCCATCCTTCCACCGCAAATAAAGTGAAAGGGCGAGGAGCGCCTCGAGGGTTGGTCCTCGACTCAAGCCCTTGATGGAAAAACAAGAAAGTGATGTCCTCGTATAAACATAAAATCACAGAGACGTTTTCCCCGACGAAGCGACATAATCAAATATCTCCCATTCACAGGGAGGACGTCCCCAACATGAACCCAGATAAAGATTCATTGATCTTCATCCGAAACTCATAAACCTAAATGAACTCCATGAATTCTCATTCAAAACTCATGAACTTCATCAAAAAATTCATCTGTTCGTTGGGAGACATCAGAAAATTCATATCGACTGAAATTTCATACGTTCAATCTAAAATCCTAAGAAAAATTAACATACGTTTGAAATAATCACTTACTTGGAAAAGGGTGAACACTGGAAAATTCTACGGTGACGATGGCGACGGCGGAGCAGCTAGCGAATGGAGAAGAGACGATGGCAGAGCAAAGTCGAAAATGTCTAAGTAAATCTCGCACTTCCTTTTTATAGCTACTCCTTACCGTATAGGGTAGCGTGCGAGGGATCATCATTGCTTAGGCTCTTAGACTGCCCTAGGAAATGATGGCGCTTCAAATAGCCGCCATGTGTGACACGTGAAGTGATGTGCCATTTTGACCTCCAAAAAATCTCACGCGTGAAACCACGCGCTGACACCATTTTAAAAATTTCCATTGTCGAACACGTGCTCGACATCCTTGTGGTACCTTTCTTACGTGCACATCAAGAATATGAGCTCAGAGGAAACCTTGTGTTTCCCCGTGAATACGAATCCCGAACGAGCACCCATGTCAAGACAGGCAGCTGATGAGTCGATCGAGGAAAATCCTTCAGAACAAAACGACTGCGCCCTATGCATGCCCTCGTTGTCGGGCATAATGGAACGATCACAGAGAGTTCACAAGGAAAGCGATAATTTGGCGATCATGTTGTCCTCGACCGTAATACGGTGATTATTCACATTTGCTCTTCAACCTTGAACGTCGAGGACGACCCCGACAAAAGTTAATAACTCCTTTTGTTAGGCAACCTTTCCCCGACAATTAAGTTGGCCTTAAGTCATCACTCTTTCGCCTAAGAGAAATAACTTGGGGGACTCTTGTTCTAGACTGGGCCTACACTTGGCCCACCGTTGGGCATTGCCCAATCCAGCGCCTTTGCCATTGTCGAAGCTACCACCATCCTGTCCGTCGAGAATATAGAGTCCATAACCTCCATATTATCCCAGAGTAGTTAACTAGGGAGGAGACCACGTGTTGGACTCCACTACTCACGTAACCCTTACAGTTTTTGTTATTGGGCTTAATTATCTAGCCCAATAACGAAGATCTTGGCCTAATATTATGGACTATAATAACTGCGCCCTACGCACGCACACACAACACACACACGCGCACGCACGCGCACACACGCACACACAACACACACACGCACACACAACACACACGCGCACGCACACGCACACACGCACACACAACACACACGCACGTGCACACACGTACACACAACACACACACGCGCGCACGCACGCGCACAACACACACACGCCCACGCACGCGCACAACACACACGCGCGCACGCACGCGCACAACACGCACACGCACATGCACGCGCACACACAACACACACACGCGCACACACGCACACACAACACACACACGCGCACGCACGCGCACACACAACACACACACACGCGCGCGCACGCGCACGCACACACGCATGCACGCGCGCGCACACACTCACACACTTACTTTTGACTAAAAAGTAGTTAAATGCACCCTAAGGTGCATGCTGGTAAAATAGACCTTCATATATATAGGGTTATTTCGAATATGCATATCTGAAAACCTCTTAAATACAAAATATTAGATTACTTCAGATTTGCATATCCGAAAACTCTCTGAAAATAAAATATTTGGTTATTTCTGATATTCATATCCGAAAACCTCCTGAAAATGAAATATTAGGTTCGTTCGGAAATGCATATCCGAACTCTGAGAGTTTTAGAGAAATTTCGCCAAGGACCTCTAAAAAGGTGTAAGAGTGACTAAAGAAAACCCCAAATAGATATTAGGTAGTACCAATTTATTTTTGAGGCCTTAGACAAAGGCCTAGCTTGCCTGCCCCTAGGGCCGAGCCTAAACCCTTGCATTTGTCGTTGTACTCGAGACACGCAATACTTTGTTTTTTAACAACAACCTATCATTCACATTATTACATATTTGATTTATGTCATAGAGATTCATCGAAATTCTACATTGGTTGTCGACTATCTACGCAACCCTTGCTCATAACAAAAGAGTAAAATATTTAAAATAAGTTATTATACAAAAATATTTAAACTAATTTCTCATTTAAATATAATAAATATGTAATTATATAAAAATATTTTTAAAAAAATAGTGTAATAAACGAGTTTATATAAAACAGAAATATTTGGTTGAGATGGTAAGAGTCTCTTCCAAATTGTGGATTCAATCTCATCCCTTAAAATATATGAGCCATAGCTACTATTTACTGGAAATATTATTAATTTGTCTTGCGCATGGAGTTTTATACACAATTATCGCAAGAGAAGATCAAGATTACAAACGAGACAACAAAGGGAAGATTCGAAGAAAATAATGATCCAAGGAATCCAACAACGAAGCAGACTTTTAGCAAAACAAACTTCTCTTTGTTTAGTTTTAATGAGCATCTTCAACGCGGACAACTTGTGAGTATTGGACTTGAGTCCAAGCAATTTCAACTGCAAGGACAAAATTTTAGAAGTGTCTACTGAATATGTGTAATTCTAGTATTCTGATCCACCCAATAAATTTCCATAAGCTTTTCATCTTATGACATTTATGAAACTCAACCACTCTCTGTCCTCCAAAAGTTGCAATTTTGTACTCACAATAATCCGATTGACGAGCTTAGCTTAACCAATCCAAAAGAACACCTTAAGATATTGCCAACACTTAGTTGCTTGAGGTGTGTATATAACTTTGAGGAATTACATAACAGGAATTCAAGAAAGTACACTTCATTAGCAGCTTGCTCATCTTAAAGTTTCCTTCTGATTGACCAAAGGGGATCAAGTGACGACTGAGTACTGACCTCTGTAAGGTTCCTGATAACAAATCCCGATACATGCCAGTATTCCTTCTGCCACCCCGCAAGCAGCCTGACAACAAACTATATTGGATGTTTGTCACAGGTTTGAAATTTTTGGTTGCTGGCTTTAATTTGGGCTATTGGCTTGTCAAAAACCTTCCTTGTGGGTGGGTGACAATCCTCCCATTGGTAACCGACAAGCAAAAGACACCAGGCAACGCCAATGCACTAATTGCAATACTCAGCAGTGAATCATCATCCTGTAAACTAATACACCACTAAGAAATTGAGTTATTAATAAAAGGAGACAAGAATAAATTGTTTCCAAACGATATAAAACAAGAATTTGGAAGCTTTCAGGAATTTCCATTGGAGGAAGCAATGATATGGGTCACAATCATGCTTTGACGGAGAAAAAAAAAACTTATTTCAATACCTACAGATGCAGTGATCAAATGCAAAAAACATGGCAAGCAAAAAAGTCTGATGGAAAAAGATAAGGGTTTATCAGAGTAAAAAGCAAAAACAACTTTTCATTGCTACATTGTTTCTTGTATAAAGCTTTAAAAATAGAAAAGAAAATGCGACATTATTTTTAATTAAAACTTAAAATGGAAAGGAAACTAAAATGATACTAAATTTCTTGAAAATCTAAAAGTATAACTAATCTTCTCACGGAAATCTCAATAAGTTAACAACATAATCTTACATTGAGCATATGTAGTAAAACATATCTCCAGTATTGCTAAAATCCACAAGTTGTATCTCGTGGCTTCCTTCTTGATCTTCATGAATAAGGTAAAATGGAAATAAAGGAAAAAAAGTTAAAGAATAGAATAAAACCTTAATCTGTTTCAATTAAAAACCAATATAAATCTCTCTGTATTTGTATAGACATTCATATCATAAAGAAAATGCAAGCAGATGGGTAAAATAAATTTGATGACATGACGATGAGGTTGGTTAAGATTTATAATTATAAATCATCTCAACAAAAAGTTAATGTGATGCTCTTTTTAATGACAGTGATTAAACCACACACCAATTGTCCAACCCATACAACAAAATAAAACCATGCTATGAATTGTGTTGATAGGTAAAGAATGGGACACCTATCCAATAATACCTGTCAAATTATCTAAAACAGTTTCAGGCAATGAATCCGAAAGAGGTTCATATCCTTCATCTTACATCAATTTGGTTAACAACCTTAATTCTGACCGTATTTCATCAATATGCGGGTGCATATTGTCTCCAACAACAAACACATGAACCAAACTCTTTAACTCAATCCAGCTACAACCAAGCTCTTTATTCACCCCTCTGGCTTTCATCATTCTCCGGACACGTTCCACATTTTCCCACTCTCCTAAGGCTGTATATATACTTGATAACAATACATAAGCAGATGACTCCGGTGACCCTAGCTCCATTAGTTTCTCTCCAGCATAAGTACCAATTTCGTAGTTACGATGGTTCTTACAAGCTCCTAATAATATGCGCCACAAACACAAACCGTGATCAACCGTTGCAGATTCAATGAACTCTTTAGCTTCATTGAGCATACCAGCACGGCTCAAGATGTCAACCATGCAAGCGTAATGCTCTACCGTTGGAGCAATGTTAAACTCATCAAACATCAGCATGAAATAATACCAGCCTTTGTCCACCAGTCCCATATGACTACAAGCAGATAGAAGATTTACAAACGTGACTGTATCAGGCTCTATTCCCTCCAACAACATCTTCTGAAACAGCTCCAAGGCTTTGTTACCATGACCGTTTTGAGAAAGTCCAGATATCATTGCATTCCACGAAGTTACATCTCTGGCAGGCATCCTCCAAAAAATAAGGTACCCATCATCTAGGCTTCCACACTTTGAATACATAGCAGAAAGAGCACTTCCAATCGGAACTTCCAACGTGAAACCATATTTAATAATCCGGGCATGCATTTGCTTTCCCTGGTCTAAAGCAGCTAGGCTGGAACAAGCTCTTAGGACACATGCCATCGTTACTTCATTAGGGATAACTCTCTCCATCTGCATTTTCCCATACAGATTGAGACCCCCTTCATAATCCCCATTTTGCACATACCCCGTTATGATAGAAGTCCAAAGAACAACATCAGGTTGCTGTATACACTCAAAACCCTTACAAGCATCCGTTAAGTTACCACATTTTGCATACATATCCACCAAAGCAGACAAAACATACAACTGCAATCCAAATCCCAGCTTGAAGGCAAAACCATGCATCTGTTTCCCTTCCACAACAGCACAAAGGTCACTACAAGCATTAACCACCCCAACTAAAGTAAACTCAGAAGGCAACACTCCCGAAGAATGCATTCTATTAAAAAGTATCAAAGCTTTATCACAATCCCCACTATGCACATAACCAGTAACCATAGCCGACCAGGTAATAGAATTCTTATCCCCCGAAAATTCAAAAGTCCTAACTGCATCATCAAGCCTATCACACTTAGCATACATCGTCACAAGAGCATTCGCAACCGAGACAATACAAATCAACCCGTTTTTAACCGCAAGCGAATGAACCTGCCTACCAGTCCCCACAAACTCACAACTCGTCATCGCGCTAAGAACACTAGTAACAGCAAACTCATTCTCAACCTCTTCCTCACGTCTCATAAGTTCAAACACCTCAACCGCCTTATCAGCAAGACCAACAGAAGCATACCCAGATATGATAGTAGCCCAAGAAACAGTATTTCTTTCAGGCATTCTATCAAACAGTTTCCGAGCATCAAAAACAAAACCCGTTTTACAATACATATTAAGCAAAGAACTCCCAATCGGAACTTCCAACGTGAGACCATATTTAATAATCCGGGCATGCATTTGCTTTCCCTGGTCTAAAGCAGCTAGGCTGGAACAAGCTCTTAGGACACATGCCATCGTTACTTCATTAGGGATAACTCTCTCCATCTGCATTTTCCCATACAGATTGAGACCCCCTTCGTAATCCCCATTTTGCACATACCCCGTTATGATAGAAGTCCAAAGAACAACATCAGGTTGCTGTATACACTCAAAACCCTTACAAGCATCCGTTAAGTTACCACATTTTGCATACATATCCACCAAAGCAGACAAAACATACAACTGCAATCCAAATCCCAGCTTGAAGGCAAAACCATGCATCTGTTTCCCTTCCACAACAGCACAAAGGTCACTACAAGCATTAACCACCCCAACTAAAGTAAACTCAGAAGGCGACACTCCCGAAGAATGCATTCTATTAAAAAGTATCAAAGCTTTATCACAATCCCCACTACGCACATAACCAGTAACCATAGCCGACCAGGTAATAGAATTCTTATCCCCCGAAAATTCAAAAGTCCTAACCGCATCATCAAGCCTACCACACTTAGCATACATCGTCACAAGAGTATTTGCAACCGAGACAATCAACCCGGTTTTAACCGCAAGCGAATGAACCTGCCTACCAGTCCCCACAAACCCACAACTCGTCAACGCCCTAAGAACACTAGTAACAGCAAACTCATTCTCAACCTCTTCCTCACGTCTCATAAGTTCAAACACCTCAACCGCCTTATCAGCAAGACCAACAGAAGCATACCCAGATATCATAGTAGCCAAAGAAACAGTATTTCTTTCAGGCATTCTATCAAACAGTTTCCGAGCATCAAAAACAAAACCCGTCTTACAATACATATTAAGCAAAGAACTCCCAACATAAACATCGTCCAAGCAAGCTGTTTTCACAGCAACAGAATGAGCTTGTCTGCCAGCAGCTACATCATATAGATTAGAAGCAGCGGAGAAAACTCCGGCGAGAGTGTGTGCATTAGGGGTGACGTTGTTGTTGGTTCGCATCATACGACGAAAGAGGTTTATAGCGAAGGAGTAAGATGAAGGGGAATGGTCTTGGGAGAAAGCGTTGATGAGGGAGTTCCATGAACCGGCGTCTTTGTGATTGTCGTCGATGGAATTGAAGAGAGTGGAAGCCTTTGATAAGTGATTGGATTTGGCGTAGAGAATGAGGAGAGTGTTGGCTATGTAAATGGAAGAGAGGGAACCGTTTTTGAGGATGCGTGCGTGGAGTGTACGACCTTTGAGGATGTTTTTGTTGTGAGTACAGTTGATGAGGTCGGTCAAGAGTTGTCGTTGTTGTTGGGAAGGAAATATCGACATTGTAGAAACTGGATTTTTAAAAATGCCACAAAGGAAAAGTATCGGGACGAGTCGCCTACTATGTAGCTTTCTTTAAGACATCGTACTGTCAATATTAATGTAAAGCGTCGAGTTTCGACGACGCCTCCAAAATAAAATAGTCCGTTCAATTACGATAATTAATTGTACTATAATTAGTCGTTCGTAAAATAACACATTCGGATGGTAATTAACAATTGATAATTATTTGTACTATAATTAGTCGTTCGTAAAATGACACATTCGGATAGTAATTAATCAGTCTTAATATCTGGATACGAAGTGATTCAGTCGAAAAGAGAAGAAAATTATAGATGAAGTGAATGATGAGAGAAGAAAGAAGAATTGTAGAAGTGAATTCTAGGACTGCCCAAATGAACCGAAACAACTTAATTTTTAATTTATAAGTGAAAAGGTCCAACTGGAACAGGTCTAGTGGGAGAAAATCGTGGGAGAGATGGAATTGGCCCAGTCAATAACCAGTGAATAATTAGGTTAAGACTTGGTCTTTTGGAGACAAACAAAAATCAGTCAATAATTAGATTAAGACTTGGTCTTTTGTGCATGACACATCACCATCTATTAATTAATTAATAATAATATTAATATTAATTAATTTTCACTCTTTCGATACTAAAATGAATCTTTTCAAATTCACTCTCAGTCCAAATTTACATCATACCAAGATTTCCAAGAGACATGCATGAAGCAATAGCATCAACACAAACAGAATCGATGCATCATCATTCATAATATCAATATGCGTGTGCTCTGCGTTGAAAATACCATAATACCCCTAGTTAAATTATAAAAGTACAAACTTGCCACTCGTGACTCAACCTTAACAATTCAGTTGCACGGTTTTTTCATCATTCAGTTGCGGACTCGTCGGGTAAGTTTTATACTTTCGCTGTTGTTTCTGTTCTGTAAATTTCAAAGGGATTTGTTGTAAGAAATGGGTGAGTGTGAGATGAGACAAGAGGTTTGTGTAAATGTATCTAGTTGTTGTTGTGCTCCATGTGTTTGATAAAATGCTTCACTTAAAATCCTCAAGTTACTAAACATTCTGTTTTTGAAATGGGCACTGATTGCATGTTCCCTGTCTTCGTTCTCAACCTGAACTCTCACTCATCTCCTTCCTTTCCCTTTGCATAGAACAGTGCCGTCTAAATTAAAATCGTACCGCCATCAAATCGTGGACCAAGCCCGCCACTTAGTAAGTTACATGCTTTCCTTGTTGTCTCTCTAATGGGACCAATTGTTCTTTATTATTGAAGATGTGTGAATGCTCGATTTTTGGTTTTTTACAGAATGGTATTGTTCATGGCTGTTTTTTTACTAATGGGATTTCATGTAATAACAGAAACGAGTGAATGTGAAATGAAAGAGGGGGATAGTGTAAGTATGTCTAGTTGTTATGCTCCAAGTGTTAGTCAAATTGCATGACTTAAAATCATTAGAGTGACAGTGACTACACATTCTGTTTTTGAAAGAGACTCAAAGTGTGATTTACAGTTAGTTAAATTAAATGGTGGATTTACTTCTTTTGAAATGGATGTATTTTTTCAATATTCTTTTCACATTAGCATCTTTTAAGTCTTATTATACGTCTTCTAAATATCTTCAGGTTTTATTGTTAAAAGGCTAAACACTTCCTTTTACATTCTTATATAGAAGTTGCTACTCTGTTCTATCTTTCAAGGGGAAATTACATAAAGGGTTTGAAGTTCATTTCTTATTTGCCTCATTGTACTCACTATTCCATTCATCAATATTCATCCACAAGTCCATTTATAATTCTTGTTCTCTTAATTGTTCTATTATGAGCTGCCCACATGGCTACTGTTTCTTTAGAGCTTAAGTTGAAGTTTTTGGTTTTGTTTTATTATGAAGGACTGTTTTTACTACTGCTGTTTTAGAACTTGGTCTCGTGGGTTAGAAAGTTTTGGACAGTCTGCTTGCCTTCTCTGCAGGGGGCTGCTGTAATGTTTCAGCTGTAGCCGGTTCTGTGCGACCTTTTGTTATTTAGTTAGCTTCTTTTTCTGCTTTGTGGCTATAGAGGTTTTGGTTCTTGTTCTGATTTTGGGTTACTTGTGAGGACTTAAGTTATGATTCAAAATTAGATGTGTACTTGTTGCAGACTTGGCTCTTCTTGTACCTGAGTCTACTTTCTGTTATGATAAAAGTTAGTTCTTTTCCTTTTCAAAAGAATTTTAACCGGGCACGATCCAACTTATAAATGTCTGCCTTCCAATTTTAGTGAAATTTATCTTTATCATTATTGTAGATAGATACAAATATAATTGCCAACTAGTTAGAAAATATAAAAAATTATATTAACTTGATTTGTTCTTAATAGTGTTCAGATTTTAAGTTGAAGATATGAATGCGTTCAAAGCATACAAGGCGTGTGTCCCAATTGCTTATAGCCCCAATCTATACATTACTCTGGTGAGGGGTATTCCGGGGACCAGGAAGCAACACAGGCGCACTTTGGAAGCATTACGTTTAGGCAAATGCAACCGAACTGTCATGCGATGGAACACACCTACTGTTAGGGGAATGATCCAACAGGTTTCAACACAAGCTCTATCAAATCCATCATGAAATGATATATGTTCTTGTATACTAACATTGGTAAACTTTGTAATTGTTATAGGTCAAGAGATTAGTTGTTGTCGAGACAGAGGAGATGTACAAGGGCCGCAAACAGAAGGAGGAAAATCACCGAGCTCTTCGTCCTCCATTGGTCATAAACCATCAGCCTCCTCATGCTGAGGGTACCTTGTAATGTTCGATGTGTTTTTAATGATCTCGACTTCTTACTACTAAAACTTTCAAATGTCTAAGTTTTGGGCTGTGCCTCACATGGTTAACTTGCTTTGAAGGCCATGTTTTAGTTTTTAATCTATAATTTTGAAGCTGTTTCAACTGATGCAACAACTTTAGTCAAACTTAGGCATCTGTTTGAAAACAGGCTATCAATTTCAGTTTGGAATCATTAATTCCATAATTTCTTGTTTCTTTAGGAAACAACTTTACCATATAGTTGGACTTTGTTATATACCACTTCCACTTTACCATATAGTTGGACTTTGTTATATATTATTTCAAATGTCTAAGTTTTGGGATGTGCCTCACATTTTTTATTATCACTATTATTATTAATATTGTCTTTCTAGGAAACCCATAGAGAGCTCAACAGAAGAACTCTGCCCATTAATTTAACATAAATGATCTATGACCTCAAGGTGACACAAGGAAATGAAATAATCATGTTAGATTGAACATTCTTGAACAAGTTTTGCACACAATCTCCCAAAGAAAAACACATAACTTGTATTTAAAATATAATAACTGCATAAAAAACCAAGTGATAGTGTTACAATATGAAGTCCAAATTTGCAACATTCCTCCCATCTTTCATACAAGCTATGACAGACAAAAGCACCAACAAAAAATGATTTATAAATTCATCTAAAAGTATATTTTCTGACTTCACCTCAACATGCAAAATTCTAGATGTACAGTCATGATGAAAATAACTCTTCTTTCTATCTTGATTCCACTAGGATCAACAGGATGTTTATAGTCATTGATCATATTTTATAGATCAACATCGTGACCAAGAAAGAAATTCTCTATTCTGTCTTTATGGTTATTAAATCTTTCTCCATCAAAGACTAGATATTTGGCGTTATAGTGATTTCTTTCTTTTGTAACGGGTGCAACTGATGGTGGAATCACTGCCATAGTGTTTCACAAAAAAATCTAGATCTTTATCTCACATGATTAAGTGTTTAATAACAATCAATATCAGAACCAAAACTCTAATGTCAATTGAAGGTACGAGAAACACAAGAAATGTGGGTTTGAATTGGGTTTTCAGATTTAAAAACTTTTAGATTTCCCAAACTAACAAGGATGATACGAGAACAAAAATAAATGAAAACAATTTTTTTATCTTGATTCACTGTTAACGAAGTTAATTCAGTCCACCCACTAAGGTGATTTGTCTTTTTAAAGAAAGACTTAATCAATTATAATCGAACTGATTACAGACACAAACAAAGACTATTCGTCAATGTTTACAAACCACAAAGACTAACCGTCAATGTCTTCTTGAGAAATTCTAACTATACCCTAGTCTCTCAAGGAACTATCAACTCCAAGGTTGAAATGCAAAGTGTGTTTACAAAGATGCTTCTTAGAAAGCAGATTACACAAGTTGAAATACAAAGAAATAACACAACAATGTTAAAAGCAAGTTGAATGAACAAAACTTCCTTGCTTGCAAGTTAATGAAAAAAAAGTTTCTTGCTTTACAAAACTTTACACAAGATATATTTCAGTAGAAAGTTGAGCAGCATTTCAGCAAAATTGTTTAGCGTGAAGTTCTTCTTTCCAATTCTTCCAAGTCTTCCTTTTATAGCCAAAAATAAATTTGTTGGAGGGTAGAATAGGAATAATGAATTTCCAGTTGTCTTCTTGTCTAACGGCCAGTGAGAGTGATAGACAACATCATACCATAGTACAGTTCATTCGCCACAAAATCAGAATAATGGAAATATTTGATCTTGTACCATGTACTATTCACTCACGTTAAAACATTTTGATCTTAACTTCTCTTTAGAGGCTTCATAATGTGTGTTGATGAAGCATGCTTAGAAGGACCAAAAGCATCAAAGAGAATCTTCATAACACATGTCTTCAGGGTCTTCAGAACTTGTTCTTTTCAGAACTTTGTCTTCAGAGTCTTCAGAACCTTGGTCTTCAGAATCTCGAAACTTGGAAGCCCATAATCTTCAGAGCTTGAGAAGTGTTCAAAAGCTCTTTAATTAGAGTCACAACACATAAGCTTTAGACTAACGTTCATCAGAATCGTTGTCTAGAGACATTCCAGAACTTGACTGGACTTTGTAACATGTAATTGGGCATCTCCAAAGACAGAGTGTGTTGATTCAAAAAATGATAATGTCACA